ACACACACACACACACACACACACTTACCTCCAGCTGGGCCAACAAGCTGTTTGTTCCTCTGCTCGCCAGTAAACTAAAGAGAAGCTAACCTCAACTCTGAAAGACAAAACACGACAGGAACATGGTCTCATAATAATTGGAAGGCATTTTAATACAAGTGGACAAAAACTAAATTATTTCCTTGTGTCTTACAATAGATGCAGACACTTCCTGGTAATGTCCCGTTAGTTTGGAGTATGAATTTCACAATTCTTACACTTTCTTAATGTTTGTAAACGGATTTACGTTGAATTTGATGCAGCAATCTGGTTGTCAAATACTTACTAATCCCTATTTAAAGATCCGTCCGCGTTGAGCGTGGCGTTCACTTCTTTGTACGTTTGACTCGCAGTACGAGGATGTCGTCCAGGGAAGACCGTCCAGATGACGGAGGCTGAGGTGCAGGGGCTCTGCATCAAGTCCAGAGAGATCTTCCTCAGTCAGCCCATCCTGCTAGAACTCGAAGCTCCGCTCAAAATCTGTGGTGAGAATTTGTATACAACTATATTTGTTGCATTATAATCTTCATTCAATCCCATTAATTAAAATAAAATGTTATGCTCGTCACAGAGATTATGATGTGGATTAAACATGTAACATCTGAATATATGATTCCAGGTGATATCCACGGACAGTACACAGACTTGCTGAGGCTATTTGAGTATGGAGGTTTCCCTCCGGAGGCCAACTATCTGTTCCTGGGGGATTACGTGGACAGAGGGAAACAGTCGCTGGAGACCATCTGCCTGCTGCTGGCCTACAAGATCAAATACCCAGAAAACTTCTTCTTGCTCAGGGGGAACCACGAGTGTGCTTCCATCAATCGCATCTACGGCTTTTATGATGAGTGTAAGTTTGAAAACATACTTGTTTGTCGTCCACTGTCTACTTCCCAAAATCCTGTGTTTTTCATTTAGCCAAGGAAGAGTCCAATTAACATTTACAAACATTAAAAACTCTTTATTGTAAAGGTATTATTTAGTTAAAAAAGTTGATTTGTGTTGTTATCTTCCACATGTCTTTATGTTTTCTTCCTCAGGCAAACGCAGGTTCAACATAAAGCTCTGGAAGACATTCACAGACTGTTTTAATTGCCTGCCCATTGCTGCCATTATCGATGAGAAGATCTTCTGCTGCCATGGAGGTTTGTGAAGTATCATGAACAGTAGCAGCCAGTAATTTAATTCTAGGATAATGTGATATATATATGTATATATATATATATATATATATATTATTATGATGTGCGTTGACAGTGCGCCCCAAAGATGGGTTTAAAAGTCACTTTAATCAGAATCTCTTGTTCTCCTCAGGTCTCTCTCCTGATCTTCAGTCCATGGAACAAATTCGACGTATTATGAGACCCACTGACATCCCTGACACAGGTCTTTGGTTTTACGCTCATAGACAAGATGGTTACTAATAATAAGTTACTGTTAATTTCTGAGACTGAGGTGATAGAGCTGGAAAAGTTTGTAGTTTACCACCACTGTCTATGAGTATGAAATGAAAATTAACTTTTTAAGTTAAAGTCTTTCTTATACAGGAAACCCTTGTTTATATCAGTTTATGACTTCTGAGTGTTACTTGTCTTACTCATGCTGCTGCTTTGTTCCAGGCTTGCTGTGCGACCTGCTGTGGTCAGACCCAGACAAAGACGTGCAGGGATGGGGAGAGAACGACCGGGGAGTTTCCTTCACCTTCGGGGCCGACGTGGTGAGCAAGTTCCTAAACCGCCACGACCTGGATCTCATCTGCCGAGGGCATCAGGTAAGAGAGGAGGTAACACCTGCTGTATTCAAAAAGATTCTGTGGAAATTCTACTTTCAGCTCTAATTCCTCTGACCACAGGTTGTTGAAGATGGCTACGAGTTCTTTGCCAAGCAACAGCTGGTGACGCTGTTTTCTGCCTCCAACTACTGCGGGGAGTTTGACAACGCGGGCGGCATGATGAGTGTGGACGAGTCGCTTATGTGCTCCTTTCAGGTACGGAGTTCAGTTTTATGTTGCACTGGAATGTTCATCAGGATTTGGACCCACCTGCATCTGCTGTCAATGTATTTATCACTACCGTCACCTGACTTTCAGATTCTGAAGCCGTCGGAAAAAAAAGCAAAGTACCAGTATGGAGGGGTGAATTCGGGACGCCCTGTCACCCCCCCCTCGCACCACTCAGGCACCTAAGAAGAGGTGAGCGTCTGGCCCCCCTTCCGACTCTCCTGCCCCTCCCCTGGCTGGTCTCTGGCCCGTGTCTCTGCAGGCTGCCTCAAACACTCCAGCCTTCTCTCAGTAAGCTCGCTCATGTGTAAACAGAAACTCCAGGACTGTTTGTTGTTGCCTGTTCCGTGGATATTTTTATGAACACGAGTGGTATTTCCTTTACTCAGTTTTTTCAACGCCATGGTGTGTATTCACTCAGCCTTCATTTCCACTGCTCAGTCCATTCAGCAATATTTAAAACTAACCCTTTGTGAAAAACAATGCTAAGAAAAGATGCTTCTCTGCCTCCAGATGAACAACTTCCATTGTGATTTTGTGAATGCATGCACACTTGTGAGACTGAGACTGGTTCTTTGCCCTTTTCAATGTAATTAACCCCCCAAATATTTACTGTTCCACCTCGACTTGCCTGATGTGCATGTAATTTACCTGATTACTGCCATTGTCCCCTTCAATATGAGCTAAAAGCAGAGAGGGAAAAGTTTGACATAGTAAAATAAGTTTTTCTTTATGACTCCAGAATGTTAGGCATCTCTAAAATCCTTTGATTTTGATGTTAAAAGTGCAATAAGCATCACCAGAAATCGAGCCACATGCAAGAGGAAATGTCTGTGAGCCTATTTGAACTTAAAAAAAGTACAACCAGGCAGCTTTGGTAATTTTTTTACGCGGGCATTCATAAACAATAGATAAGCTGCATTAGTGACGTGTTTCCAGCTTCAGATCTGAACACTTGCACCCCTCACATCACTAAACCAGCATTTGTGGTTGTTGAAGAGCAGAATTTCCATTGTTGGTGTAAAGTAAAGAAAAAGGCGATTCAATTAAAATGTTACTTTTTTGTTCTGGTGTAAATTCATTGTGTGTGGAAATGAAAGAAAGCATAGACTGTGTTTAAAGATGGACGACATTTCTCATCTTCCTCCCGTTGAACAAAAATGAAGCTAAAATATCCTGGATACAGATGCTGCCATCTTGCACTTGTGACGACATTTGGAGCCAGAGTGAAAGTTTTGAAAGAAAAGCGAAGAACTAATAAATAACACAAGACATGAATGAATATTATAACATCAGTTTTAAACGCTGTTAGTTCTTCACAGCAGAATAAACGTCTACCTCTCTCACACTGAAAACTGCTGCACCTCAGTCATCGCATGACATTGTGAAGAGGTCAAGACGATGTTGTTTGTTGTCGGCATTTTGCTAGTGATGTTACACTGTTTCCACCTAGTGGTTATTGAATGAAGTACAGTGAATCGTTTCCAACTCACTGATGAACATTTGACTCGAGTGTTTTTATTTAATATAATATAATCTTGCCTTTTGCCTTGTACAGCGATTGGTCTTCGAGTTGAAAAAGTTACGTTACGATGTTTCGAGATTTGTACGACTTTGTTTCAAATGAGTGAAATAAATGGAAGTGCTTTTGAGTCTGCTCTTTTCTGATGGGTGTTGTTGCTGAATTACACGTGAGCCAAAGTATTTTCTGTCTCCTCAGTCTGACTTGAGGGCTTGCCTCACCGACTGTGGTACTCTACCGACGTAGTACTCGTGGTTGCGCAGTGTCGCGAGAACACCGGCCGAGTTCATGTGCTTCACATCTGCCTCGTAGCGGTACGCATTGCCGTGCATGTCAGTCAGTTTACCTGCACAAGGACAGAAGGAGCTGGTGAAATATTTAGCATTTAACCTACAAACACACATAAATAAAAGACTGTTTGAAAAGCTTTCCTGTACAAGTCTGTAAAAAGAAATGAGAGATTTTACCTCCGACTGCGTGCAGGATGGCCTCAGGAGCACAGGTGTCCCACTTCTTACATCCTGGACTTGCGAAGACATAAGCTGATGCTTTTCCCTCAACAAGCTGAATTATCTGCAGAGAGGTGAATCAGTAACCAGGTGTTATTCACACAGCAACAGGCTTTTTGTCTCTTTGTGCGTAAACCATGATTTTGGAGGAGCAAAATCCCCACGTGTTAAAGAAGATTTGAATCCATCTCACCTTATTTCCAGCACCACCCACTTTTACAACTTCGTGCGGCTCCATGGCATCTACACAGTCCGTTACCAGCTTGTTGCTGTGGGAACGGGTGGTGGTGACGATTCTTCTGTCACCTGGAACTTCCTGCAGCTGAAATCCAAAGGCGCCCAGTCCCAGCATTCCCCACATGGTTCTTCCTAAAACTGCTCCTGCTCCAAGCTGACAGAGTCTGAATTAACTTGAGTGTTGGGTTTTAAAACGCAGCTGCAGAACAATACTTAGATTTAACTGTACCTGATAGTTGTAGAATGGCTGGTTGATGACACCTGCTATAGCTCTGCCTCCGTATGCAATTCCAATCAGCACCGTCACGTTATCCAGGAGCCCTGGAAACAGCAGGACGTTAGCTGGAGGCCACTTAACGACTTTACTCGCTGAGTAAACACGAGAAGCTGCTCTGGCAGGTTAAGAGTCAATACAGCATGCAGAGGTTTTCCAGCGCTGCTTTTCTACGTGTCACCAGCTGTGCTGTGAGGCTGAGAGGTCACCGACCCTCCGTGTGGTGTCTGGGCGTCAGTTTGGTGACGGAGATACCTCGACGCTGGGGTTGGCAGAGCGCGATTAGATAAAGGAAGACAGAGACAGAGAAATACACAGAGAAAGGAAAGGAAAAGGTGAAAGTGACAGTGAACCTGAGAGCCAGAAAATAACCAAACATACTAAAGAATTTTGAGGAAGGAATAAAAAGTCTCAAATGAGTTGCGGTTAAAGACTTGAGTTTCAGGAAGCAGAATGTAGAGGGGCTGAAGTAATTAGTCAATTAATGAATTTGACAACAATAAATTTATCAGTGTGTGTGTTGAATGTCTCCAAGATAAGAAGCTGGTGGAGCCACTTCAGAGCTAAACCTATTTGTTCAGTCAATTAACTCACAATGAAGCCTCCGCCCACTGTGCAGAAAATGAAATGCATTTGTCACACAGAGTTATAAGAAGCATATGTTTGGATCCTACCTTCAGTATATTCCTTTGTGCCATCGAGTGGATCGACCCACACAACAAGCTGAGACACAGGAAAACACCAACATGAGCACAAAGTGAAAGTCACAATATCAACTTCTAACAATGGTGACACAGAAACACAACACAACTTCACATCCTTCAGCTTTACCTAATTACTGTTACTGAAAATATACATTGCACTTCTGGATCTACTGGTCGTTTACCTCCTCCTCTTTCAGCCCACTGTATTCTGCTGGGCAGCTCTTCTGGAGGATGTCCTCGGCCTGGCCATTCTCAATGACGTCCTCCTTCACCTCCTCAGATGGAAGATCCTGGATAAGCAAGGCACACATGTCTTTGTCCTCATTGTCCACCCATAGAAAGCCTTAAACCACAGTTATTTTTCTTTCGCTCACCTCTTCTCCAATGATGGTGACTTTTGGGAAGCGTCTGGACAGCGAAGCACAAATGCTCTGCTGTGCCAGTCTGTCCGCCAGCGTCTGCAGATCATTAGCTCCTGTCTGTGGAAAGACACGCGGAGGAATCGGAAAAAGGTCAACACGACAATGATCACGAGGCTGGGAGCTTTATAACTTTACAAATACACGAGTCCCACCTTCTCCACGATGCCAAGCTCTCCACTGTGAAGGACCTTCCTCACGATGGCCCCGGCCTTCTCTGCCACAGAGTGTGCAGACGCCACCAGACGCATGATCACAGGACTTCCAGACATCGCTGAAGGACAGAGACAAAGACAGACATCAGTAACTGACACATTCAAACACATTACTGATTGATTTAGGTCCACAGCTTATATAGTGGTTCATGATGAAGTTGTCTTAATGATCATGCACCATCTTTATCTGAAAAATAAACTCCACTGATTATTTTAGATGAAGACAATGTACTAACATCTGTTCGTTCATCCCTTCTCTCTCTCGCACTTTGAATGGTGTGATGATGTCTTTAGTTTTCTTTACATCAGATCGTTTAAATTTAGATTAAAGTCCAGAATAAGCTCTTTAGACTTGAAGAGTCCTCATTGACCATTTCTGTTGAACTGAAGCATTAAACTTACAGCACTGCTAGATTAGCATTAAGAAGCTTTTACACAAGCTAACCTGCTAACACGCTACTGTGGTGAACTCGCTGAATCACACGTGTTACTGTGTTAATGACGAACAGGATGAATCAAAGATAAAACATAAAGTTATGTGATGAAGAGGAGACTTACTGACTGCAGCACCAACACACACTCACACACAGACACACACAACAGCTGACAAACTGAAGCTGAGTGAACCCGGAAATACAAACCACTTCACCGCCAAAGAGCCGATTCAAAGAGTCAAGATAGTTCACTTCCAACCCAGAGGTTCTAGTGTCGCCCGGAATACTCACTTGTCAGGACACTTGTCAACTAAATGGTCGTGTTTATATTTTTATACGTATTTAAGAGTTCATTCACATCCGCATGAGTCTAGTGATGATCTTTAAAAACAGACTGGAACATTATTTAAGGTCTCAGCCAAAATGAAACGCGATTAAACGGTTTTTAGACCTGGGTGAACCATCTCGCTTTGTCTCCGAACATGTACTCTCTGTACAAAAAGGCACTCTACGGGTCCTAGAGTCCGTCGAGTTTGATTTGAAGCATAAAGAGGCGGGGCTATAAAAATCAAACTGTCTCTATAGTTTTATATAAAGTTTTTTTAATTCTTACTTTCAGAATAACTAACAAACGCATCTTTTTACAAGAAGTTTTTATTATTTTATTTTAATGTACATGTGCAGCACTTTGTAATTTTGTTTTGAAAAGGCTTGTGCAAATTAAATTATATTATTATTATTATTATTCATATAATTAGTTACCACAATCAAATATACTTTCTTGGCCGGTTTCATTGCAAACACTGCAGCAAAACAAGATGTAAACGTGTATCACTCCCAAAAGACAAGACACCGGAGTCATCAAAATATTTTATTAGACTTTGAAAGCCTTAAATTTCAAGAAAACACCATTTACCACATATAAATTAATTGCAACTTTCACTTTGTTTTCTCTTCCCATTCACATTTCTCAACACTTGCACCATGTTTTGAATTAACCCCACATCGCCCAGGAGAGAAAAATGTTCCACAGTATAATTTGTTCTAAATAGTGGGTTAGGGTGATGAGTATTCTTTCTCTTATTCACAATAATAAATGACAGGCAGCTTTAGAATTCCCCCGGGTTATGACTCAAACTTTCTGACACAAAGATGGAGTTTTAAGTAAAGTTATACCATACAGTAAAAGTACAGTAAAAACAGTTTTATGTCAACGTAAAGTCTTTAGAAGTTAAAGTTTGAAAAGAAAAACATCCTGATTATTTGATACAAATGTGCAAAGCGCTTCATCTGTTAGCCAGAGGTCTGTAGCCCATCTCTCCCTCCAGCTGCTCTGCAGTGAGGGAGCCCAGTAGAGGTTGACAGTCCGGGTTGAAGACGGAGTAAGCGCTCAGTTCTCCAGGCTCTCGGGCCGCTGGGCTTCGGAGTCCTTCATAGAGCCAGTAGAAGAGAGAGATGACGAAGAAGGGCAGGCCGAACTCCAGTTCTACAAACAGGCCGAGCAACACCAGCCACAGCAGCACTTTCAGCAGAGTGAGGTTTGAGATGATAACTTGTCTGGAAGTCAGCCATCTTCCCAGAGCGCTGTCCAGCAGCCAGTCACTACGGTCCTGCAGGGAGTTCATCCGTAAAAATGTGGTATTCTAAAAATAATTCAAACTTTCAGCTGCTTACTGCTTTTATTTTTTTAACCATTAGTTGTGAGGTTTAATATAATTTGAGAAGTTTGCTGCCGACGTTGTGTGAATGTTTTTCCAATCAAACAGAATCAAATCTACTATGATCTTTCTTGGGGCAAAGTGTAACAGCAGCTGCAGAACAGGAAAAACAAAGTACCTCTTGCTTTAAAATCCAAATACTACTACTTCACTAGTGCACAGTAATACTCATGGTTTGGTTGCTGGTGATCTTACCTGGATGTGAGAGCTGTCAGCTGCTGCTTGGTTGTTCTGTGTCTGCTGCTGCTCAGTGGCAGTAGTAGTAGTACTTGTAGTAGTAGCAGTAATACTAGCGGTAGTAGTAGTCATTTCAGTCTGTTCTCTGAGCTGTGAACCAGCAGCCTGATGATTCTCTGCAGCTTTTCCAGCCTGACGTCGAGCCCTGAACTCCGCGAGCTTCCGCTCCATCGACTCCGAAGATTCAGGGAAATCTACGAGATAAAAAAAAACCAAACAGCCGCTTCGACAACTCGATCCGAACTTCTGCGACACCAGACTCACTTCAGTTCAACTTTGAAACGCACAGAACACGCGTGAGCGGACCTCATCCGAACCTGCGATCAGGTTTCATCTCTACGAGCGGAGCGAAGGGGTTTGTTTACCTTCTGCGTCAGCGGCTACCGGAAACGAGGACGCGCTGTCGTAAAACGGTTTCCTGTGTCGTGAAAGGCGTCGTTTTCCGGCAGAGGTCCGCCGCCCTGTTGGAAGCTGGTTTGTTGTTTTCATCTCAGGTGAGTTCGCACATGATTCCACCTGCGTTCACTGACGAGCAGGGAACCAGGGGGGGGGGGTCTGACGTGTTTCCAGCTCTTCACAACAAGGAAGTGTTGACTCGAAGCTCTGCTTCACTCATCACACAGAGATACACAATGAAATACTCCCGTACAGAGTTAAAGTGCTGCACTCAAGACTACCCACTTAAGTAAGATTGAAAGTCCACATCAGACAGAGTCCAAAGTTCGATTCTTCTGTGACTGGATCATTGTAGTTGATTGACTCATATGAGCTGTGATACATGTTGGATCAAGGTGGTTTCACAGCTTCATAACCATCAGTTGTTATTTATCTCAACATTTAGAGAAACTAGCAGATAACTTTTACATTTTTTACGGTGAGTACATTTCCTTTCTGCTGGAAGCTGTTAGTATGTTCATAACTATGTAGTATTGAATATTGTCTCCGTCGGTTCTCTGGAGTATTTGTATCTGCAGTACTTTAAATCTGTTCCAATGTTCAGTGTAAATGTTCGGGGTTTCTCTCTCTCCTCTCCAGTCATGGCCTCAGCTCCAGCACAGCAGCCGACCCTGACTGTTGAGCAGACCAGAGGTGAGAGGAGCTGGAGCTCTCAATCTTACCTTGTACAATAAATCAGCTTGCATTTATATTTTACATGCATGATGTGGACGCAGAGCGACTTCTGATGCTGCTGTTGTGTCTCAGTGGTGCTCAGTGAGGTGATCCAGGCCTTCTCAGTGCCAGAAAACGCCGCTCGGATGGAGGAGGCTCGAGAGAGCGCCTGCAACGATATGGGCAAGATGCTGCAGCTCGTTCTCCCCGTTGCCACTCAGATTCAACAAGAGGTTCTTAAAGCCTACGGGTTCAACAATGAAGGAGAGGGTGAGGCAGCGTTTTCCAGCCTCATGTACACGTAGAATTAGACTCTCATTCATTCAACCGATGCTGATGTGACACGATGATTCATACGCTCTGAGCCAAAGTACCAACATGTAAATATTCCACCACATTCACCAGAACAGAGAAGTCACTCGAGCTCTGAGATATACTGATACAACACTGATGTCATGATCTGAAACTTGAGATCCTCAGAGTTTTAGTAAAAATGTTAGAAGTATAATTTTGAGTCTTATCCGGCAAAATTGAATAAACAATCATTTCTTTTTTTCAAAATGTTTCTGCAAATTAATTTAATCTGAAGTTGACAACCACACAAGACTGTCACACACCACAACTCAGAGACGGTTCCTAATTCAGCACAGATGTCAGGATTCATCACTTTGCTTCTGCTTCGCTTTCAGGCGTCCTTAAATTTGCCAGACTGGTGAAGATGTACGAAACCCAGGACCCTGAAATTGCGGCCATGTCGGCTAAACTCAAGTCCCTGCTCCTGCCACCTCTGTCGACACCACCTATAGGAGGCGCCATTCCAGCTTCATAGGAACTAATTCATATGGTCAACTGCTTTTTTTTCGGTGACTTTCATTTAATGCTTTGAATCTGTGTGACCATGCCGCAACTTCAAGATCATGTCTAGAGATAATGGAAAAGTTAGTTATAGTTGTGTTCCATCAGTACATTAAACACATTACAACAAATTACATGTACATTATAATTTCATTTAAAGCATCTTGTTAAGTTATTGCTTTTGAAATGTGTCAGTATTTATTTGTTACTCGATGACCACTTTCTTATGTCACTGAACCTTAAACATTTCCTTTAATTCCATTTATTACATCGTTCTTTTATACCATTTTTATATTCTATCAAATGTATCGACGTGTTTTTTGTTATACAGTGGGGTCCAAACTGTATATTGATATTAAAGAGGTTTTATGTGAGTCTGTGTGTGGTGTTAATAGAGAAAACAAAAACTTACATTATACATAACTTTATTATTGCAATAAGGCTTTAGCAGCGACATCTTGTGTGTGTTTATATGTTTAATGTTTCTAAAAAATACTAAATAAGCGGTTACACACATTTACATATTTACATTTGCTCAAAGACAACTCTCAGACAATCACTAGTTTTTAAACGTCACTTCTACAGAAAATAAAATCTACTCCCTCTGCTTTGAAGGTTGTAGTTTTAGGAGCATGCGAACATGACAACACTGTGTCATGGCAGAAGAGTTTTACAATTAAAAATGTACGTTTTGTATTTATTAGTCAAAATAATCAAAACTTAAAAATGCCCAAGATTCTGAAATCATAAAAAAAAATAGCATTAATCATAAAGTGCTTTTTTTTAAAAAGGCAAACAGTGCAAAACCAGTGGATCCAGCACCAAATGTGAAAGTAACTGTTGAGCAAGTGAAGTTTCTGCTGTACGTCCGGGATTAAAATAGTTTTGTGTCCTGTGCATATTAACCAAGCTGGTGCCACCACAATGTGCAGTATGTAGGAAAATAAAAGTACTCAAGGGCAAAACACTGTTTGGATTTTTCCATCTTGGCCAAGAAGTTTCCATGTGAGGAAAAATGTGTGTTGATGCATAAAATCTCATGATAAAGTCTTGTATAGTTGATGCATTATAAACCCTGGTTGGCAGAGCTCCCTCTTGTGGAGAACAGTGTTTCAGTCCTTCATCTCTGGTCACAAGAACAGAAAAAAAAACGAGGACGACCTCACATCTCAAACTGACGGAAAATGCTTTCGACGTAGCCCAGGACCCTCTGCCAGTCCGGCCCGTTAGCCCTCAGCATCTCCTCCACTGTCTGTCACACAGAGGACGGATGTTAAGACAGACCATGATGCTGTGAGATCTATGAATACATCTTAAGATGAGACCGTAAAGAGCAAACCACACAGATCAGAACTCTGAAGTTGCATGTTTGTCTCTCACCAGTGTGGCTGTGATTCCCACGTTCTCTCCCGTCCTAAAAGCGAGGTCCAGATTTTCCTTCTGCAAAAAACAAAGTTTCTGATTCAACTCAGCTTCACATCTTTACACACTTGAATTTCAGATGTGAACTCTTATAAAACAACTAAAACCAGAACAGCAGACATTAGAGCCAATACCTCAACAGCCCCCAAATCAAAACACATTTCAATCGACTAGACAACAGATTTTATATTCTGCACCAAATTACACGCTCATAGATATCAGTTCCTTAAATATGCCTGATTTTAAATCCACAAATTATTCTCTGGGAATAAAACCCAAATATTTAGTCTCTGTGGTTAAAAGACCTGTTTTATGACTTCAGAGACTCTCAGTGCCTGGAAACATTATATTTTCTTTTCAGTCTCTGTAAAACTTCTTTCAGACTCAAATCTGTGATAATCGTCTTTGTAAGTGAAGTAAACTGATATAAATCTGCATATATTTTACCTTGTCCTCAGGGTTCAGGTTCTCATACGGGATGTGATTTGGTAAATATGTGTGATAAACAGCACAGAACGCCAAACCATCCTCCCAGCTGCTGCTGAAGTTGGTGATATCAATATTCTGTTGATAGAGAAGCCTTGATTTATTCCCTGTGTGGAATACAGGATGTGATTGATTTAAAAAAATATTGAGAATAAATAAAGACTTCTGTCTGACCTTGTAGCCTTGTGTACGACCCTGGCACCAGCGGAGCAGGGAGTTTCTCCTGGAGCCGCCGTGACGCCGCAGCAGAGCACTGAAACCGTCCTGAGGTCTGGAGGAAGAAAAGAGAGGTCATCCTAAAACTGTGTGTGTGTGTGTGTGTAGAGGATCATTTTAAATTGTACAGGAATATTATAAACATGGTAACAAAGCACTTAAACGAAGGACACAAGAAGCAGTGATAAAATTACAGTGAAAAGTTTGTTTAAAACTAAATCTAAGTTTTGAATAGCTGCAAAAAAAAGCTCTTTGATCCGATGATTCAAGTTCAGAGATCGTGACTTGGTTTGAATGTAAGTTCATCCAAAAGGAAAATGCTTGTGACTCGTTCATGCTAAACATCCATCAGTCTCCAGGTTGGAGTCAGAATCAACTTAGAAATAAATCCTGACAGAAACTTACTTGACGTAATCTGAGCTTTGATCCTCGTCCTGTTTTCCTGTAAACAAACAGTTACACAAATGAACACAAACACACACTGTGTGTAAAGATGGACGACACGACCGCTCCCCAAAGTGAAGCCAAAACATCTGGACCGCCCCCTGCTGGCTGATTTTAGTACAGGTCATAAAGCCCACCTCCTCCATGTTAGTTGATGGGACATGGACCAAACTAATTTTAATCTGGCTCCAAATGAGAAACATGGGTGGCGTTTGTAGCCGGGACATTTTGGCTTCATTTCTGGGCAGTGGGAGGAGGTGGAGACGCGTGGTTCATCTTTATGTGGTGAAAAAGAATCCTGCTGGTTTTGTAGATTTAATCTCACCTGAATAAAAACTGGACCAACTGTCCTGTCGCTGTAAAATACGATCCATCCTTCTCCCCTTAGTTGGCTGCTCTTTCTGGAACAGATAAGAAATGATTCTCCCTCCAAGTCATTTAGTAGTAAATATACAATACACACAAAGATATCTAATACCTTGCATAGTGGCAAAGTTGTGCTTGTATTTGAAGCCTCATTTTGACCGGAGGAGTCAACTGGGAGTGGAAGACGAGATAAACTCCTGAAAGACAAAAATGTTTAGTAAGAATTTGTCGTCGCGTGAGAAGTGAGAACTCTCACGTAGACTCACCAAGATCTTTCAGACAGCATCACAATCCTCCTCGGATCTCTCGGCCCACGTCCCGCTTCTTTCTTCTTCTCCATTGCAGCTAAACTACGCAGGTATCCCTCCGCTACCCCCTTCCCTTTCAGCCGCATGTCCCCTGATCCATTTGCCTCCATGTCTCCATTTGCTTCATTCTCCTCCTGCTTAGCTTCAGTGTCTCCTGCAGCTTCTTGTATTTCCTCTCCCTGTCCCTCCTCAGAGTCTCGTCTCTCTATCTGTTGACCACCATCTGCTTCGTCTTTCGCCCTGCATGCGTTTCTCAGAGCATCCAGCTCGGCTCGCTCCTGCTGCAGCGTGAGTTTGTTCAGTTTGCTGCAGACGTCTCTGTGCTCGGCTCTCAGACTCTCCAGCTCTCCCTCCTTCTCCTGCTCCCTGCTGAGGGCAAGGGCCAGCTGCTCCTCCATTGCCCTGTGGCGCCCCTGGACCAAACCCAGAGCCTGCTCCGACTCGATCCGCAGCCGGTCGGCCACAGACACGGCGACCTGCAGGTCACACTGGAACTGATGCCACTCCAGCCGCTCCGCCTGTGGAGGAGAAAAGAGCAACAAATGGAAAAGAAACACTTATTTGCTCAGTTAGTGACCATCGGTTGAACGCTACATGTCATGATGCATTGTGGGAAACAATGAGTACACTATCAATGGTATAAAAATATCTCACTGAACATTGGGACAGCAAGATGACAAACTGAATATAAAGTGATTAGTGATGAGTAATTGTCTATTTGACGATCATTGATAAAGAGAGCATCGTGCAGATTGGAAGACGACTTGAAACTAGATATTGAAATCATGAAGTTCTTGAGAAAATGTTTACTGATGTTATAAATATACTAAGAGGTAGAGTCTTCGATGTGAACTATCTTTGAGGAACCTGTGGAGATGCCCTCTGCTGGTCATTCTGGATGATCACTGCTGGTCTCTCCTTCACTTTCTGGACCCAGAGTCTGCATCCATATTTTTATTTACAGTCTATGGACTCAACATATCCTCAAGAGCTAAGAACGGAATCTGACGCAAACTCACCCTCAGTGTCTCCCTCAGTGTGTCCACCTCCTCCACCAGCTCGTCTCTCTCTCTTATCAAGCGCCTGAGCAGCTCTGACAAACACAAACAAAGTAGAGTGAAGGTGAATCGATCACTTCACAGTAACATCAGTTTAATAAAAGTGGAAACAGGACCAGTTCCACTAATCACAGCTCAGTCAATGTCATTTATTATTGTTGTTGTTAATGTCCTCTCCTCTCTAACAGAAGTCAACAGCAGTGTCCATAGAAGCAGACGACAGTGAAGACAGAGGCGTACCTACTGCTCCTGTGATGATGTCAGTTTTGGGGGTGAGGCCTAGCGAGGCCCTCTGATGCTCCATCAGACTGAGCAGGACCAGGGTCATCTCCTCCTCAGCTTTCTCTGCTGCATCCTGCGGCTCCAGGCCGCTGTCTCGCTCCTGCCAGCTCTGCTCTGAGGGGGATTCTCTGGACGGGGGCAGGGACGCCGGGGTGCCCGCGCTGACTGCTGCCGTCCCGTGTCTGGCCGCTGCATCGCTCACGTTCGTCTCTGAGGAGGCGACGCTGTCTACGCTTATCACGGCCCAGTCTGAGGACGCAGACAGTTTCTGTGTCCACTCTGCAATTGGAGAAGCGGCGGAGGAGGGGGTGTCGCCGGCGGCCGGCGATGGAGTCTGTGCTTTATTGGAGGAGGCTGGCGAGGATAAGGCCATGGCTGTCAGCTCTGCCTCTGAGGGCGTGGTAGGAGGCGTGTGGAAGAAATCTAGAGGAGAACCTGAGAGGGGGGAACAAGCTGTAAAACAGAGGAGGAGAAAAGGAAAGAGAGGTAAAGAAGAAGAATAACAACTGACCTGAGCTTTAAAATCATCTCAGTTAAAAAATGTGCAGAACATAAAAGCTCCTCTGTTCTTCTCCTTGATGCAGATGTAAGTGCTCAGTGTCCACTCCCTTATTTACTGTCCTGTGCTGACTGATGCAGCAAAAATCCTCTACTGCCAATGTCTTGGCTGGTGCACACACACACGCACGCACGCACACACCCACGCACACACACACACACACACACACACACATTTCCCAGGGAGAGATGCAGTCTGACCCTGATCTACTATCTTACAGCTGCTCTCACTGCTTCCACCAGGTGATTACATCCATCAGTGCTGCCAGGTCTCTACACATATTTTCAGGTATTAGGATTCATGTTGCTGCACTGGTTTGGTTTTGTGATTTCTGTATAATATGTCGTTTACACTGGAGCAGGCCACAGTGCTCTCCACCTGCTTCTCCTCCTTGCCCTTGTGTCGTACTGCAGGAATTCTGCAGACTCATCATTTCCCCCCGGCTGCTGCATGACGCGGTGTGCTTCAGTTAAGGCAGAGGAGCTATTCTCATCCTCCAGCGTGAGCCCACTTCCTGCAAAATGCCAGCCCAGAGATGAAGGAGCAGCATGTTAAACAGCTGTTAAGTGAGAAATAACCGGAGCGAGCGGCCGACTGAATGTCCTCAGTTGGAAAACGAGATGTTTTTACACTGCTCTGGGTGATTTCACACAATAGTTGAGCTTAACGACAGCTGGTCTGTGATGTTCGGAGCTGAAAGACGCTGGAAGCAAAAAGATCTGACGATGCTTAATCCAACTTTCACCAAAATCCCAGAGATGCACTTCTGGCTCATCAATTTCTGTGTACTGAGAAATGTCTCAGTCATCAGAGTTTCCTGCACAAACATTTCAGCTGATGCCTTCCCCAGTGTACAGGTTCCTGTTCCTGTTCTGCATCACACAACTTCAGAAGACTTATGTTTTGATCTTAGTTAATAATGAGACACTGAAACATAAAAACATGCGGCAACGAGAGAGAGAACTGTGCATGTGAAGTGCAGAAACCGAACCGCAACAATCTGTTATATTAAAAATCTATCATTGCGAATAAAAACAAAAGCATTGTTTGTGCACGCGTGTTGCTGTGATACCTGTAGGACCATGGTTGTCTTTGCCGGTGTGGTTACCCATGATCCAGCAGGGGTGGGTACCTGCAGCGTCCTTCTTGTGCCCTCTGAGCTCCACAAGGCTGTCTGGACATGGGAGGGGGGGGGTAAATATTAATATTTCACGAGTATGACTCACTACTGAACTTTTCATCGACAGAGGAACAAGAGTGCAACATGTTAAGGACAGAGCAAAAACCTTTGCTCAGGAAATCTTGAGTGCAAAATATTTTCTTCTGGAGGTGAAGACTGAGCACCTCCCCCACAGGGATCATAAAAAAACTGCAACAATTACAATTTATTAATAAAAACTAATTATAGTACAAAGTGTTGAGTCACCTGCTTTAAGTTTTCATAGGGGAGCAGAGCTACAACGGTGTTAAAATGATATGATGTTTGTTTGACGTGCACCTTCACCCGCTGCGCTGTGCTCTGATTAATTAACCACACTCCATTGAATAATATAGTGATTTAAGGTTTCCATGGTTATCAATGAAAGAGCCATGCATTAAACAGTATGGATGATCTTGCAGAGACATTGGCAGTATACTCAGTCAAACTCGGCATGCACACAACTTGCTATGATGCTCTGCATGTCACAGTTTTCCAGAGTCACAGCTGATCATTTTGGGAGAGAATTACATAAATGGACTGACAAGACAACCAACACTGCAGTGAAGTTAGTTTTAGGTTGGATACTCTACAGACATAATTTCCCTTAGGGACCATCAGTTACTTCCTGTTTGAAGAGGAACTAACTGGTTTACTTTTGTAGCTTCCATCTCATGTCATGTCTATGAACAGATTCTGTAGGTGATTACACAGAATCTAAAGGTGAGGGACAAGATTTTGGCATCAGGAAGACTTCTGGTCTCCATCTCTACTTTGACCAATCATGTTTTGAGCAGGATTTGGTTGCCAGTATAGGTAAACCATCCGAGTGGAGAGCAAAAGCCATGGAACACACTGACCCAAATACATTGTTAATACAGATGGTTGTTGATAGAGATGATCCAACAAAAAGTACAGCTGACAGTGTGTTTTGTGGAGACTCGTGTGATTAAAGAAACTAGACGGACTGTAAACTGTGCAAAACTCATGAGGGTCAAATATCTGCCGACTATAACACACGCCCCAAAATATTGGCTGTTGCAGTGTTTGTTTTGGGTAGCGAAACAATTTGGCTTTAGTTTTGCCAAAGGGTCACATGATGTCCACGGAAACTACTGAACAAATGTGATAGAAAAACATATTTTCATATAAAATATCAGAAACACTAAAATACAAGAGAAACAATGGCCTCCTGTTGGTCTGGGGCAGCAACATGTGATGTGATTGGAAGTCTGTGGGTCACATGACATGGAAACAATTAAAAACAATGAGGTTATCTCCAATCAATTCAAACGGGAATTTATTGATGGTCCCTAAACGAAAGCCTTGTGATCCAGATCCAACACAAAACTAACTTCAACCTGAACAGCAAATGAATGCGCAACTGGGTGAATGCTATGAGCCGTTTTAAAGAAGAGCAACAATTAATTTGTAAAATGTTTTGAAAATTAGCCACTGCAGAGTATTTGTGCTTTTAACGAGCCAGTCTGCTTTAAAATGTCAGTTTTTTGAATGAAGTTCGGCGTCACTCTTCTCTAATGGTCAGGGCCAAGGGATACCTTTGTTTTAAGAATTTTATCTTAAGGCTGTGACATATGATGCATGTTACACACACACACTCACTGATCACAAATCCGTCCTACCTTCCTCCACCAGCTGCTGGATGTTCCACCCCTTCCCTCCTCAGCTCTCAGCCGGATTTCTCGACCTCCTTGCCGGGCTGGTTTCTCTGTCTGCGTCCCTTCTCCCAAATTCACCGGAGGATTCGCTTCAAATGACTGAAAATCATTTTACTCCGAGGTCCCATGTTGATCACTCAGCTGCAGAGAGGCAGCGAGTCCCGGTGAATCTGCTTCTCCCTTAAATCCAATGCGACAAAAGGCGCAGGAGGCAGAACCCAAGTGTTTGCGCAGCAGCTGCAGGTTGTTGGATCAACATGAATGTTGTCAGTGGCGTTAAACAGAGCAACATCTGGACACGGCTCCACAGAGTTAAAGCATCGAGACAGTTTGTGGTCTGTGGAGGTGAGGAGGAGGTTCCACCAGCAGGGGGGTGATTGTCCTCTGTTACCTGCAGGTGTGTTTGTCAGGTAACAGTCACATGGTGGGAACATGTGTTGAGTCGAACCTCCTCCTCTGTTCTTCAGCTCTGTTTCACTGACTGAGGAACATCAAGGCTAAAATAAAGACTCCTCCCTTTTCTTATAGACGCTCATTTTGACTTTTTTTTTTTTATTGTTGCTGCTTCATTCAAGGCCTCCTATTTGATATTTTTGGTATTTAAAATGTTAATATGAAAAGATAATCGATTAAAAAGCTCAATACTTCCCTTTGAAATAAAGTGGATCGGATATATGAAGTAAGAAATACTATTAAAATACCAGTAGCACTGTATTTAAGTACAGTAACAATCTAAGAGCAGTCTATCCTCTGATGGGATAGGATATACTTTATTGTCCCCGTAGTGAAATTTATCTTGGACTCAGTGCTGCACAGAATAATGCAGATAAAAAAACCCCATATAATAAAAATACAACAACAAACATATTACTCCAAACATCCAACAAACAAGCTCAACCTCAGTATCTTCATATCTCATCAAACTCATTAAAATATCTTAAATATCGATACAAATACACCCACCTCAATCTTACCAACCTAACAAGTTTCACTGTCGACAACCCCGTGTTATATTCTGACAAATGAAAGTCAAATAGAAGCAGATGAAAGAAGCTGAAGACTGAAACTAAAGCTCTGGATCTGCACTGCATTGTATTAGATCATCTGCTTCAGGACCATGGACAGAGAACAGTGAAAAAGATATCTAGTGCCCCCAGATGTTCAAACTCTATACTGCTGGATGAACGACAATAATATCCAAAGATGTTTTATCAGGATAATCAATAAAGACTACAGTCTGTAGCTCTGGGATGATGCCTCACTCCTCCAGGAGGTCGGTGCAAGTGGAGACAAACTGTGGGTTCAGTTCATATGAGAATGTAGATTTACGGTTGTTAAGTTGTGCCACTACACTGGAGATCAGTGCACTTCGACATCAGTCAGTGAGGGACATCAGGACAGAGTTTATCATCCTCATCCCCTAAACAGGAAGTTATTCCAGGGAAATTTCCTCAGTGTCGTCTTTTAGGGACAGATTTTCAAGTAAGTTTTTATCTTAACTTATTCTTAACTGTTTGAATGGTATTTTATTTACTTGTTTTTATATCTGTATTCTTTGTATTTTGTGTAGTTTACC